TGTATCTCTTGGGTACTTAATCCTTCGTCCTCACCTCCATCTCAACTCTTCACTTCATCAACATTCACTTCATTAACATCCTCTCCATTTTCAATTCATATCAAAAACCATCACAATGCAGATTCCAGCAGTTCTTCTCACCCTCGCTCTCCTCCCAGGAGCCTTGTCCTGGTCTCCATTCGCTTCCTTGTACAACCCTACATCAGCACAATACGTTTACTCGCCCATTGAGCAAATCCGTTATACACTCGCTTTCGAGACCTTTATCCTCGATTCGAAGAACTGGACTGCCTTAGAATTTGTATACACAAATGACGCTATTGCGAACTTCACTGGCTTGGGAGCCGAACTTTGTATGTTATTTTCTTTTTTCACGCGGAGCTTTCAAGTCTACTCAAAAGCAAGCTTTGTGGCTCATTTCTTCTCGACAAAGAGATGGCTATAGTTCTTGGGGAGCATTGAAGCATGCGAACAATAGAAGAAATGACAAATGAGCTAACAATTACTCAAAGGGATCGGAAGAGACGATATTATCGCCAACGAAAAGAATGGCTTAGATCACGTTGCAAATGGTGTTCATCAGTTGACAAGTAGTGCTATCTTGATCAACCAAGCAAACAGCAGCGAGGCTCATGTTACAACCTAGTATGTATTGCCCTTTTTCCTAATGTGCATTAAGACTAACAAAATCCAACAGTATCACATTCAACCATTTCGACACCAACACGGAAGGAACAGAAACACACGTTTTCTCCGCATGGTTCAAGTTTGAAGATGATTTTGTTGACACCAAATCCTTTGATGGAACTCCAAGTTCATGGAGAGTACAGAATAGACAGATGGTCTTGGTTGGCGGAGGAGTTGGAGATGATCTTGCCGTTGAGAGACCTTAGATGACGCAAGGAGAGGATATCGGAGGAGACAGCAATGTTTGCGTAAAGCGAAACAAAGCTGGAGTTGTGAGATAGAATAGGAGGAATGATGGGATGCAACTAAATTCATGGTGGCAAACGATATCAGCCGATTCGTAATTTTAATATAATACTTTTACATATACTGGAGTGCATCATGCTTTTCTCTCACATTTTTTGGATCCAAGAGCGAATTGTCAAGTTGAGCTTCCGAGATCAGTCAGGAATGAGACTCAGCCGCTTTCACCTGATCTCGTCATGGCTCGATAGAAGCGAATCGAGTGGTTCCCCATTATGTATTCCCAAGCAACTACGATACGATATCATAAAATCCTAGCATAATCTCGTCGGAATAATAGGTCGAATGATGCATAGCCGAGATTGACGACCCCAAGGGAAGGCAACGAAGTTTATTAAACAGCGATATTAGACGAGACAGCATGGGAAACTTTTCGGCGAGTAGGGAAGATTTCATCCTCCCGCAAATTTTCTTCTAAATCCTTATTCCTGTTCTCCAGTTGATTGAAAATGGAAATTTTCATGTTTCATACGGCCAAACTTCGAGAGCCTTAGATTAGATGGGTTTATATTGTTTGAAATCCTGTCTTGATGACAAACATTCTCTATGTTCTACTACATCATTATTTCGTATCCAAATACTCTTTTTGCTAATGTTCCCTTCGTTCCTGGTATATTACTTCCTTCCTTTCAAACTCCGATATACTCCTCATTCAGTCCTCACCACACCCGCTCACCGAAAAATTCGATTCAAAGTTACTAGCATTTAGCAAAAGCTTGTGGCATACGTCACAGCACTGTTTCCTCAGATGTTAGCAATGATTCTACAAGCTTCATTTCGCATTACAATTGCTCCATATTGACCAAAAGATAACTTACAGCTCATCGTTCATCGCCGCACTATCACATTAACATTGCATCTGCTACAATCCCAAACTGTCTTGGTATGAGTTTCCTTGGCGTAAGTCCCGTAGTCGACATTTCATCCCTCTCAACTTTCTTTCCCTCTTCATGAACTACAGGAGTCACCTTCTTTGGCGTGAGTCCTATAGCCTGTACAGGTATTGGTGGAGCTTCTTCCCTTTTCACTCCCTTATCCCTATTGTGATCAAACTTTGGACCCTTATTATGGGTCGCGTAATGTATCCGCGGATATGGAGATCGCTCTGCTCCCTTCAAAATATCTAGACGTACGCCGCCTAGCGCCCCGATAAGTGATACCAAGGAAAGAAGGCAGACGAGACCAAGTAGTATTTTGGATCTGGAAGGTAACTTCTTGATTCTCGTTAGAAGATTTCGGAAAGAGGTACTAGTCTTGATGTGCGAAGATTGAACGGAATTCAGGAAGGAGTTCTTCCAGTGTGTAGTCTTGTAGTATACAGGCTTGTGTGGGTCTTCTGAATCGGATATGATAATTTGAGGTGGGATTTGAGGTTGATTGTGCGTAGGGAGCGTACTGCCAAGCTGGCGGGAAAAAGTGCGTGCGTGAACCATTGGAAAGGTAGGGAGGGAGGAGAATCAGGTCAGGTAAGTTGTGGTTGTACCTATGGAGTTGAGGGAAGGCAGGTGAGATTGGATTTGGAAAAGATTGGCGGACACAATTGAGATAGGACTGATATGCAAATAAAGTTCAGATTAAGGTTGCCCGGATTAAAAGTAAACAATGGGGTATATAAATGGTACAATTCCAGATAAATCTTTACAATGAAAGTATGAGAAACTAAGAGGAAGGGAAGGAGAGAGAAAATGAAGATAGGATGAACAGCACACGAACCCAACCAAACAGGCTTCAATTGAAATCAAGCAAAGAAAGGGATGGAAAGGTCTTTTTCATCCGATCTTCAGTCCTAAACATTTGAAAGTCCAGAACCAATCGAACCAAGTCATAATGATCCACTAAGATCCAATTTCATTGATTGAAATTCATCATCATATGGAGATCCAAGCTTAAGCTTCTTCCAAATTTATCTCCCTTTCAACGATTAGCTCCACAGCCTCCACTTCATCTAACCATTCCGAGCCACTCTGATATTCGTTATCAAGGCGAGCACGGCTCTCAGCTTTTTTTCGAGCCAGGAACATAAAATGATATCCACTTTGATCGATTGCCAAGATTCCTTAAAGGGAGATGGTATGGATTGGGTGTAATTTGAAGCCAGCGTTTCATCAGTTTCTTTACCGCTAAAACGGTTGAAGTACCGGTACCGAGTGATAGATTTGTTTGTGAACGTCTCAGTTTGTTTATTAAATAAACCCTGACGACGTGTAATATATATATACGAAAATAGAGCTGGCGATTTTGTAAAAGGTTATTGTAGTTACTGTTGAATGGTGTCCATAGTTTAAAATGAGTTGAAAAAAGTTTGAGGGTGCAGCAACATATAGGACAGGAGCGTTCGGTAGTCAAATAGTATCCATGCTATTCGTAGGAGAAAAAATAGGCGGAATTTGATAATTCAAATTTCCATTGAAATCCTCTAACTTAATTGAATAAAAAATAATTTATAAATGATTTATATAAATTCAAAGAGATCAAAAGAAATATCAGCTTTTTATTATTCAGAAAATATTTCGAAATTTTATTTTATATAATATTGAAGGGAAATAATTGAATTGTAAAGGATATCTTAGAAATAGTCGAATTCCGCCTGTTTTTTCTCCTACAAATAGCCATAGCCTAATTTAAAGGTAATCTCCACAGGCTTACGACCCCGTGGCAAAACTCAAATTCGAACAAACGCGCATGAAATTCTGTAAACCTCAACTATTGGGTTATTCAGATGCTAAAAATAATTGATCCAAATCTTCATCAATGCATACGGAGTAGAGGGACTTATTATTCAGACCCTACTGCCGTCATGTGATGATATCAAATATACCAGATTGGAATAGCAAAACTTCTGAGAATGCAAGTACTGGAGGTAGTGGCTATACTACAAACTCGACTGGCATTCCAAAGAATGAAAAGTGCGATGGAATCACCTTAGGAGAACTAATGAGGTTATAATCGATGGATTTACAAAATCTTCCATGTTTGTGCTTATGAGTCCATATGGTCAGCGGAAGCTTCATGGCCTCTTACCATGTGTTGACTGCCAGCGCTGTCGAAGCAACGAGATGCTGTAGATTGCATGGCATTGTTATTTGACATTATTTACAAGAGCGAAAAAAAAGTGTACCAACTGTTGTTCGAATGCAGTCATGTATGTTGGCTCTAGTGAGCATGCAACATCAACAGTTGGTAGTGGCATTTATCGCATGTACATGGCCATCGGATTCCAGAAAAGAGTTGATTCTCATGGCGTTTTCACGCACCAAATTTCAGGCGCACACACAACTCCAGAACACAAGAAATGTTGGACTTATGTAGCTTTTGTGTTCTATTCTGTTCTAGAATCTCAATATGTATCTTACTCGTATTCTGATTTTAAATTGTCACCAATAGTTCTTTTCCTTGAATGAAGTGGCTGCGGTGTGGCAATTGAAGTATGCCTACAAACAGACCTTGACTACCTACCCATCGGGATATATTCTTCAATCTTCTTTCATCTCATGAGGTTTCCGGATCACGAGAAGCGCTCGAACACATCTCCGGTATAATCGAGCCATTTTGAAGCCTGGACTGAGATCCTTCGTTTACTGACCTCGCAAGAAATAGTGAAACGTTGCTCAATACACTAGACTAGATTGGATGAGTAACAACAATTTCACACTGATATTGATAGACCAACAAGCACATCGACGAAAGAGAGAATTCTAAATTCTTTTACCCTCTATATCCATCAAAAGGTCCAAACCCACTAGCTTTCAACCGAATTCGCTACTTGCATATAATCCGATTGCGTTTCGACAAAAGCGGGCCAGTTATCTTTTCCCTGGACAGCTGCCCCCGTATACTGTAGGCTGTCCAGTGTCTCAACATATAATAAACCACACAATACAGACGCCCGAGTGAAAAACGAGTCCAACCTATCCAATCGCATCATAATGAACCTAGGTATTCGTGATGCGTTATACCGGGCCATCCTTACACATCCCATCTCGAATCGAAACAAAATAAATTGAACATGCACATCACTTTCAGACCGACTTTGTAACGGTAATATACACAGTGGTCGTCGGTCCACAACCGATGCCGCAGGATATAGATGAAGATGAAAAACGAGAGGAAGAAAACGAAGAGGATCTGGCAGATGTCGTGGACGTAGTCGTAGAGCCAATCAGGGCAGGCACCAGCGACGAGGACGAAGATTTAGTGTTTGATGTAGAAGAGCTCACCGAAGTGATTTTTGATGAAGAGGAAGTTGGAAGGGTTGAAATTCTACCTGCTGATGTAGAGGATGAAGAGCGAGGTGAGGATGTAGAAGATCTAACTGTTGGTGTAGAGGATGAAGTGGTTAAAGGTCTAGTTGTTGAAGTGGCGAGAGGAGATGTCGTTGAAGTAATTGCCAATGCAGGAAGGGAGGCAGATGAGGTTGTGGAACCTGAATAATTCAATTAGCATTGGCTCATGAGGCTGGAAGAGGAAGTTTTGTGTTGTAAACTATCTGTCATTCTGATTGAGAGCGCAAAGTTGAATAGATTACTTACTTCTTGAAGAAGATGTGAATGAAGAAGATGTGGACGAAGAAGACGAGATTCTCACCGAAGGAGTTGGATAGACCTTTTTTCATATTAGCATTTTGATTCAAGGCTTGATATCAATATGTTATTATGAAAGATTAAGACAGCTACTAACCGTATAAGATGATGTTCCATAAGAAAATGCTGGACTCGGGCAACCTCCTGTCATTGAAGGAACTCCATCGGTACCCGAAGTAATGGGAACAATATTTGATCCGCAACTCGCAGCCTGCGCAATGTGAACATTTGCGTTGTCCTGATCAAACACCACATAAGCACCTCTCATGAAGGTATCTCCCAAAATCACATCCGTTTTTTCGGCGGCATTAGCAATAGGTCCATAGCATGTAGCACCATTGAACCATATGAATTGAGCTAATTGGATCCGGATGATCTGCCCTGCGAATCCAAAATCCATCGTCCCTGCAATATTTCGGAAGCTACAAGGTATGGTATATAGGCCACCCCCTTTACTGACCCATCCTGGAAAATAAGGGAGCATGGCGTTGACAAGTGAAGGTGGCAAATAACTCAATGTACTTCCGGAGTCAACAATGACGGGTTTCGCATAACCGGTAGATGTCAAATTCGTCGGTAGTTGACCTGGAAATGTAATACCAAAGTACGTCATATTGATCCAATATCTAATTTCAATACTGTTCAGTAAGACCGTCCAATACGGAGGACAAAAATCAAAAAAGCAATTACCTTGGATACCCATCAGGACTTTGATAAAATGGTATAATGGGATTTTTAATCAGTGAGCCGTAGTACTTCTTTGTATCGAGACCGCCAAAGATAATGGAGCCTATAGAATGAGTCAACCAGTACAGTCAAGGAAACCTGAAAGTCATACCTGAAGCTGTATCGACATTGCCCAAGTCTATGGCAAATGCACGAGTTTTTGTCAGACCTTGCAAGGCAAGTTGATCAATAATATTGTAATAACCAGTTCCAAGGCCAAGTCCCCAGGATACACCCATTATACCCGCAAACATTCGATTACTGCCTGATGCAACACCAAATTGAAGTTTTTTAAGGGTCGGACCTGACCCCATCCTAAAATTCGTTAAATGAGCACCTGGGAAACTGGAATATTCACCAACATAAAATTGTCCGTCGCATAAGCTCCAGTGACTGCACCGATACCATATGCTATATTCAAAGCTTGACTCAACGGTACGAAAGAGGTAGATTTCGTAGGATCGTACTGAGGATAACTGGCGCAAAATGATGCCCACCCCGAGGTAGCGCACTGTGGATTCACCCAAACATCACTGCTTCCTGTATCGATACTGAAGGTTATAGACTGCGGAGGATACCCAATCTGCACTACTTATGATTAGACAACATAATCGAGGCTACGCTTGAAATAACATACCGGTGATCATGTAAATATCTCCAATGTAAGGGTTGGCCAAATTTGACTTGGATTGTCGTTTTCGAACATTTGGAACTCCCGCAACTTTAGTCACTCCTAGCTGGAAAACTCCATCATCAACCATCCGGTTTGGTAAGACTTTAGCAGTTGCATTGTTTTTAAAATCATCTTCAACATCAAGGAAGGCCGCTACCGCCACTGCCAAAAGAAGCAACCATGTAAGCATGGAGAACATTGTTAAATCTACAACTCAAAGAGAGTCGTGTTGCCAAAAAATGGCGATGTCCTCGGCTATATGTATGTTCTTCAAAGTCTTACACCATCTTGACATTCCCCGCATTGAAAAGCCTCATGCCTGAGTTCAACACCAGGACCTGAAAGCCAACTCAAGACATTGATCTTCGGAATCAAGATATCGCAGTGATTTAAAAAAGCCCCTCGTACCATGTGCGCAGTAATAGCACATATGAACTAGACGCGGAAGAATGCATAAGACTAAACTCCCTTTTCTAGCAGTGAGGAATGATAACTTTTGAATGTGGCGTAGAAGCAGGAAGGATTTAAGAAGCATCTGAACGCCCCAGAGCATCTTCGCCCACTGGATAGCTCACTCCAAATGAGGTCTTTATATATCCTTCCCGTGAGCAACGCTTCAAATCGAGAGCCGCAACTCTCTAAATACAGGAAAAGGAACAAATACTCTACCAAAAATCACACTTTATTTCGATATTCTTTAAACTGCGAGGTGGAATGATAATCACCAATTCATGCTCACAGCAACCATTGCACGAAAAAAATAATCATCCCAAACGCTTAGCATGACAATCATAATCACAGATGTTATGACCGAAGAATTCTTTGAAGGGATTACCAACTTGCTGGGACGCACAAGTGCTCAACACTGGTTGAGATGAGATCTGAGCAAGTAAGGTGTGAAATGGAATTTGTACTTCCTCCACTCACAAAGGACTACACTAAAGAAATTCCTGCTCATGGCGCATTGAACTAAAGATCGGAATGCAAAGAGAAAATCTTGACATGTTGCGTAGCCGCCCATCCGTGGAATGAAATCTGGATCAATCTGTTGGAATAATCGCGGTATCACGTGCTGCATCATCTCCCTTTACTAAAATGAGTTTAGACCGAAAAGCAAACTCTGCTTTTCGCTTAGTAATTAGCGCAGATCACCATTGCGGCTACAAATATTCAAATTTCGCGCAAAAATTTTCTTTTCTTCTTCATCAAAAAGTATCAGAGCCAGCCACGACCTCCACCTTGACTTCAAAACAGTGGTGTGTTGCCAGCATTCTTAACTGAGTGTGAGGCTCTGTAGAGGAAGCAAATCCTTAATAGGAAGTTCGTTTTCCGTGTGTCTTCTTAATTGAGGGCGAGGGGATCCGAATGTCGAAAGAGAGGAAACATACCAACATAACATTTACCCTTTACTTTAGATGGAATGCAACTTGACGTATGTTGAAAGGTTCGAATTAAATCCCTTGTTGGACCACGACTCAACTGTGTCAACATATCTCGGAGGAAACAATTACGTGCATTGGTGCATTCCACAATGTAGATACATTCCATGATTCGCGATCCAGCCATTGCCATTCAGTAGTACACAATATTCTCATTCTTGATGGTTTTGATATCTACCTAGGTATGCCCGTGCATGTCTGCAAATACCTGGGTACTCGTGGTAACAGATTTGTACTTATACTTGATGTAAGATCTTACCTGCCCTGATTTTTGTTCCTATACCCAATACCATTTGTTACCAAGAGAAAAAATTGAGCTCCCGGCGAAATTCTCAAAATGGCACAATGAATTGAATCGGATAGACCACTGTCCACTGGTGTCTGCGAGTATACTTTACGTATAGAGTAGTACTGGCCTTCAATCTTTGACTCAGATCCATGAAAAACAGGTAATGACTACATAGGGAAGAAAGACCTCTGTTGTTGCACTTATTAATCATGGCCAGCCAGCAGTAGCTGTATTGGAAAGCCGCACATATGTGTGTGCCTGCAGAGCCACGAATCCATCACTCCCCTTTTCCCTGTTGCAGCTTGAACGATTGTCTTCAAAGACGCCGCACCGGCTCCCACTTCAAGCACGAAGAGCGCATTTATTTCACCTCATTGACTACTAACTCATAGACGATCCAGTGTAGGAAAACATATCTCTTGCCATTGCTGAAATACTTGAATGTCAATGCAAACGGGCATTCCTCCTGAGTAATTAGATATCCACTGTGTAGCTCCATGTAACCAACCCAGATCATGATGGAACCTCAAGACCCCATACCGTTTTACGCCATACCACCTCCCTTCCTCTCCCAAAACGCCCCAATCCCTAATTCTAGGTAGTCATCCTTTTATATAATGAATTATTTGTCGGCAGCTGCGACGTCACCGCTGACCATCTTTCGTAACTCAAACTCCTTAGTAAATTCGCGACTGAAAACCTCAAGTTCGGATACCAAGTTACGACAACAGGCGACAAGAGCCTCCTTGGGAGTTATCTCACCATCAGTTTGGATTCTGAGTTCGAATTTGGAAAAGAGGGGATGAGGAACTATGCGCCTCCAATTAGTACAGAATCTCGAAAAAGCCTGGCTAGCCATTGGTATAATGGAACTGTGCTAGTAGTGTGGTAGGCGTACTCTTATAACCAGAAAATATAACATGCGGATCTTTCAACAAATGAGCACGCAACATGTTGGCGAGAGTGTGGTCTTCTTTATTGAAGGTAAAAATCGAGGAGTTGGGGGTGCCTGGATAATAGTTCATTAGCATAATCTGCAGTAGAAGAGCCCATTTGCGCAATTAATCTACAACTCACGCGTATCGGCTTCCTCAGTACACTTCTTCTCGCCATCTCCGAGAATGAATAGCTCGAATCTATTGTGTATGATTAGCTTCTATCCTTCATCGTCGCGCGGGGCGCATATAGCTATGAAAGCTACGGAGATGAGATATACCTCTCAGGCGCGTTAGACATGTTTCCTAAGGCGGCCATAATTGCTTTAGTAATTATTCTTTTTGATCATTTCCTCTTTGTGCCTCTTTTGACATTGTGGATTTTGCTACAAATTGGAAAGAACTTACAATGTATTTCAAGGTAGAATGTACTCGTCTGAAGATTAAAAGCTGATATTTCAATTGGAGGAAGGTATGATACGTTATCCAAGAATGAATGGAAGGAGCTATGGCAGGACCAGTAAGAAGCAGTGTTGTTGTAAGTTTGGCAGTAACAGTGAAGATATAATATATAATAAACCTGTGAAGCTGGTGACAAAGATAATGCCAAGACTAATGAGGGGCTAACACAAATTAGGTATAGCGGAACATTATAGAAGCGGCCGAGGCTCACACCAGCCTCTTTCAGCCTCCTCTTCATTTGTGAAGTCAACAATCTAGCCCACCTGTCGACCGACCGCATCATTTTTCTTTTCTTTTGCAAAATAAAGTATTTATGAGTGTTTTTTATCACTTCATATTTGTTTTAAAATTATACAACACGTTTCAAAAGATACCTTCAGCATAGTCCTTATTTTGTTATCGCGCTGTACATGAAATCCAAATAGAAATCCCCTGTTTGCCATCTTCAAGGCTCTCCAGCTTCTTCGTATCATCCTCAGACATCGAAAATTGCATTGATTCCCATTACTTCGCATCTACCAGCTACAGGAAATCTGGATCATATCGAATCATGTCACATTCTAACCACAAACAAACGCTCCGTAAGGACTATCCATGGACAACTTATCCGCTTATATCATCTGCTCCTATGCGCTTAATATCAAAGCCTGCTTTGGCTTTAGCTGTATCTAGGGCTGGAGGTCTAGGTTTCCTTGCTGCTGGTCACGAGTGAGCGAATTCCTTTTTCTTTGTATTCGCTTCTCAGCGCAAATCACTGCTTTTTCCAGAGAAGATCTCACAATAAGTATAAACGAGATGGGCTCACTAAGAGGAGAGCTATCTGGATCATGTACCGTGTCTATCATACTCCACTTTTATGCCACTGATAGACAGTTGATGCTTTTGACCATCAAGTGTTGGGACAGTATGCTATCCAGCGATTGTTCATGCAATATGTTCTTGTTCATTACAACTCGGACTGTTCTCTATTTCAGTCTGAATTACGCTATGTACAATTTCATATATGCCCAAACTAATACCGGAAATCATCCAGTCTCACCACCCTTTCGGACGAAATCAGAGAGATTCAAGAATCTCTCTCAGATGACCCTATTCCCGGAAGCTATCGAGATACTCTTCCTATAGGGATAGGATTTATAGTTTGGGGTTGTGATCTCGAGCATGTCCTGTCAATTCTCGCCCCTCTTCCATTCCCCCCTGCAGCCGTATGGTTGTTCGCGCCACATACTAGCTCGGATTTGCAGGAGTGGACAGATTCAATCCGGAAGCTCACAGGCAATCTTACCAAGATTTGGATCCAAGTCGGCACCGTCTCTTCTGCTCTATCAGCCGCTCACTTCTGTGACCCTGATGTTCTCGTTATTCAAGGTTCTGATGCTGGTGGCCACGGTCTCGCCCATTCTTCCTCGATTGTTTCCCTACTTCCTGAATGCGCATCTGCACTACGTTCAAACGCATATTCACACATACCTCTCATTGCTGCTGGTGGAATAGTCGAGTCACGTGGAGCAGCAGCTTCATTTATGTTGGGTGCTAGTGGGATATGCATGGGTACACGGTTTTTGGCTTCTTCCGAGGCAGTGATACCGACGGGTTACCGAAATGCAGTATTAGCAGCAGAAGATGGTGGTGTATCAACCACGAGAACAACCCTTTATGATAGATTAAGAGGAACAGCAGGCTGGCCTGAAGAATATAATGGAAGAGGAGTAGTCAACAAAAGTTACTGGGACGAGGCGAACGGTATGAGTATGGAGCAGAATAAAGAGCTTTATGAAGACGAGGCGAAAAGAGGAGATGAAGGCTATGGGAACAAGGGAAGATTGTGTACATACGCTGGCAGTGGCGTTGGGTTGGTTCGAGAGACCATGGATGCTCGTGATATTGTAATCGAAGTGAGGGAGGGGTTGAGGAAATTGATTAGAGAGGGTTCAAGTCGTTTGTGAGGCATGTTGGATATCATGAGTTTGGAATGCCCTATGATCTTCCAAATCAAAGCTTCGGATGGGAATTGGAGATTGGACATGTTGTCTCATCTCATCCAGTTTAACGAATTTCTTTTCAGTGTGTAGCTTCAAAGGGTGGCTGCTTTGTATTTATCAGTTTGTATGATGCACAAACATTCGATGTTTTTTTTGGGGGGGGGGGGGGATATACTAATACTGTTTTACATAACTACAAACGTCTACCTGCAATAAAAAAATTACTTTCTAATTCCATGAATTGAGAGAACTGTGCGACTAAAGATTTTTGGGCGAGCAGCATGGGAAGGTATGTGAAGCGAAAGATTGAGGAAAGTGGAAGTGTATGAGAAAGCAGAATGAGACAGTCGAAAGATGAAACTTGATATCGCCATTCTTAACTGTTCGTACTCCAAGTTAATAACCCCAAATCCTCTCTTGCCCAATCTCTAGTCGTTGAACTCTTATATATTGTACATTTTTATTTCTTTATCTTCTTTCCATGCTTCGGCTTTTTGGCTGGCGGCGGCGCTGCGACTTCTTCTTCGTCATCCTCACCCTCCTCCTCCTCTTCTTCTTCATCCTCCTCCTCCTCTTCATCTTCTTCCTCGTCTTCCTCCTCGTCTTCCTCATGTTCATTTCCCAACGCCTCCCTATTAATCTGCTCTCCCCTAACAGCATCCAACTCAGCCGAAGCTCTCGCCAACTCAGCCCTCAACCTAATCCTGTGCGCCTCCAACTCTACATCACTCAACCCTCTAGCAGCACGCGCTCTAGATGCGTTAGTCCCCCCAAATACGCCAGGGCCCTGCGGAGCCACCAAAATCGCCGCAGCCCCCGCAGCTGCACCAGCCAACCCAATACCCACCGGTCCCACCAATAACGGCGCAATACGCTTTGGACCACCGGTGCCTCCCCCACGAGGAACATTCGCTGCAGGAGGAACTCCTTGCGCGGGTATGATAATAGCACCAATACCCTGCTGAGCAATACCGACGGCCACTCCTGCTAAATCACCCAGCTGGCCACCGAAATTATTCGCAGGCGCCATACCCGGAATATCAGGAGCATCTTCGGCTTCTGCTTGAAGATGAGCTACTGCGTTTTGATGCTCTATTGATTCCCCAAATTAGCCTCCAACTTCGACTTTTACTCCCCAGTTTGCGTGTCTATTTTCCAGAGAGAAGAATACAAACATACCATGTCTCAACGAACATCTGCTCCCCTGCCCCCCGTAATAGCAATTCGTACACGCCTCTTTGAAATGGCCATCGGCCACCACACAATCGGTAAACGGACCATTTCCCTTCCTGCAATTGGTGCAAGGACGTGCTTGGAGAGTACCGACTTGGGTTGCTAGCCATGCTTCTTCGTTTAGAATGCGGCGGGGTCCGACGAGCAGGTTGCGGTTGGGACGCATAGTCGTGTTGCGGAGGATGGGGAGTAGCGCGAGGGTGTTCATGGAGGCGGTGATTCTACTTGCCGGAGCACCGTTGATTACTGTATTGGAAGGTAAGTTTTGGTTTCTTAAGGGAGGATTGGGAGAAGGAGTGGAATCAAGAGCGTAGTCAGAGTGAAAATGATGTGGGAGATGAAACATAAGGTTAGATTTTGGCAATAGAGCCGAGCGATATGTAGCCAAAAGAACAAGTATACTTACGCGTTCCCGCCGGGGGGCCCGGGGGTGGTATAGGAAGGGGAGGAGGTGGTGGTGGTGCACCAGCCATGACTATTTATGTAGATTCAAGATAAAAAGCACAAGCTAGTTTGGAAATACGCATGAGTTTGACAGCAATGGGCAAGAACAGAACGACATAGACACTCCTTGAATGCGCAAGAGACGTATGATCTGAACATAGCACAATCGTTCCTTTGTTTGGCACTTAAGACGCTACCTTTGATGATTCTTCGCTACCCTTTGTGGGAAGGATTTTATGAACTAGGGCATTGTGAGGTCATCTCTTTGTGTAGAGGCCGCAAATGAATATTTTGCTATAGGCGCAATCTGAGAATCTGCCAATCAAAAAGAATGTTAATTGATTGCATGTCATTTAGCATGCAAGAAAGACGCAGACCAAAAGGCAGCAGCCATGCTAACGTAGGTTAGCAAGTGAAGAGGAGCAGCAGGCAAGGTTGAAAGACTCCTGAGAATTGATGAAGCCCTGCTCCACGTGAACTCGATCTGAAAGTTTGCTCTCACAACCACATTCCAAAAACAAGCCTAAGATTTCCACAGACAATACTAACGTATTTACGAGCTCACTTGTGGGGATTTCTGGTGAATAGCACATCCAAAATATAGGGGCACAATCCATCATCAAATGCTGCGAAAGCCTTGAGGCCAATTTGAATATTATAACAATCTGATCCTGACATTTATAACTGTGAAGCAAAGACAAAAGAGAACGAAAAGAAAAACTAAGAGATATCAATTTCCAGTGCAATGCTACGCTATGCACCCAATCCAGCCATACCATCCGAAAAAAACTTAAAAGATCTAGTATCATAAACAACGACAAAAGAATGCCCCATCCATATGTATGTATATATTCCGTTTATACATGCATACAAGCACAGCCCTTTGTCTTTCCACGACTTGTGAGATCGAGCCGTGTATGCGATTTAAAACAATGGCAATTCTCCTCCTGCCCTGTCTTTTCTATCGCAATATCCAACGTTTGGAACTTTATCACCACCACTTGTCCAGCTGATGATTGTCAAGGCCGTAGTATATACCATTACCACCAAGCCAAAGATACAAAGCATGATATCTGCCCCTTTGCGGAAACGTGTTTTAGCTACACCTCGATAATGTAGCATTGGCTAATGAAAGGTTAGTCTCTTGATCTTGGGGCTGAAAGTATGTGATTTAAATTGAAATTTGTCAACGAAATAAGAGGACATACCGGATATATGAATACTAGTGGAATACAAGCAAAGCTTCCGACGATCGAAACAAATTTGTCTAAATCGTTAGAGCCAACGTATGCAATGGATGCGCACAGAGCAACGACGAAGAAGCGGAAAACATTCTTTTGCCATTTGATATAAGGATTGTATTTTCCACTTTTGGTAAAGAGCTCATTCTCTGTGATTCTGATGGCTGGGAATATCTGCAGAGGGGTTGACAAAAGAATGGCGCACGAATAGAGGAATTGAACACCATTGACCATCTTGTCGTTCTGTGGAAGATTAAGAAGAACAACTGTCTCTATATGGGAACCAAATGCAGCGTAAGAAAGAGCACCCATAGAGATGAATACTACGCTGATAATGATCATGACTATACCGAGAACAGGAGGAAACTTCTTTGGATTCTTCATGGATTCTTGAATAGGGATGATCAAGCCAATTCCTTCGAATGTAAAAATGGCGGTGCCAATGAACAGCGTCCAGTCTTGCTGGTTGAAATTGACGATGTCAGAAATACCACCTTGTTTCACGATTGTGAAAATGTCGTAGTAGTAGAGATATACTAAGCCAACAAGAATAAAGGCATCTGCTATGAGCGCGGTAAATCCGAGCTTGCTGATGTCGCGCAAAAGAGAGAATGGCAAGAAAATAGCCATTTGTAGCAAGATCAACCATGAAACCTCCCAGTGAACTCTACAATTAGTCACAGCTGCTATGAAAGCTTGCAAGTTCTCTGACGTGAATACGATGTACGCAGCCACAAATCCTATCTGACTAATGACAATCGATGCAAGAATGACTGTTCGCATCCATCTCCCATAGAGAACACCTCCCATATCTCCGAAAGACGCCTCAACCTTTAGTCGCGTGTTGACGAGTAAGACGAAGCAGTAATAACTCAAAGCTGCGACGAGAAGAAGGATAATGTTACTGAAAAGCATACCGCCGTTGAGATACGCCTTAGGTAGGAACAACACGCCAGTACCCACAAAAGATTTAAGCAACAGCAACGAAGCTTGAAAAGGTGTGGTTGTTCCTTGTGGTGCGCGCTCCTTGCGCTTTCTTTTTCTGCGACCAGGTGTAAGCAGAGCACTATTCTCCATAGGCTCTCTATCCTCATCACTACCTTCACCATAATCATCAGAAATAGCATCCGATCCAAAGTATTCGTCAGGTCCGAGTACCTCATCGTCTTCTTCCAATTCTTCACCAGCAAAATGGCCGTAGATGGTTAGAAACTCGAGGAAGTTATTGGTAAATATTTTTGGCTGTCGTTGCGCGAGTCCTCCGCCTTCTTCTACATCTATGCCATCAGGAGTTGGGCTGCCTGCTGCTCGACGTAGATAATTTCGTCTGAATCCACCTGGCAATTTGATTGTGCCGATGTCAAGAACTTCGTTCTCTGCTTCTGGTCGCGAGATGTGAAAGCTCTTACTCCTTTGAGATCGGCTCGCTCTGTGAGCATCTTCAGTCCATCTGTATATGGGTCTAGTAACGTCACCACCTTGTAATCGCAGACTCGAAAATTCATCATCATCTAGCCCAGGTGCTATAGTTTCAATTGCCTGTTTTGATGTACTAGCTGGAGAGCCCACACGGAAGGATGGTGACTGTCCGCTTGGGCCAAATATCCCATCAGCGGCACCGTCACCTCCTAGCTGCGAAGGCCCTTGTTGCACCAAATGTCTTTTTATGATTTCTGGGTCCTCGTAGGCTGTCGGGCCAGCCCATCCTTGCCCGCCTTGTACCGATCGCGGAAGAGAGCCATAATTACTATGCGCTCCTGTACCTTGTATTTGTTTACCGGCAGCGGCTGGTGATAATGAACGGATGGGAGGTGTTCCAAAGGTAGGAGGAGTCTGCCCGATAGAATTCGACAGTGCAGCAGCCAACGCGCTGATACCTGGACCAGGCGCATAAGATGCTGGACCACCTGCGCCAGCCAGAGGGAGAGGAGTAATACTCTCAGATGAATCTGCGGCGGCGGCCTGATTCGGAGTAGGTATCTGTCGAACTTGTGGAGTGCCGTGATGGGAAGGTACTGGTGAGGCTAATCGGGCTGTTGATTTATCTCTTGAAGACGGACTGCCCGACCGCCCTCTGAATGAGCCTGGTGATGGTGACGAACTCATCGGAACTGGCAGAGGTCGTGAAGAGGAAGGAGTCGACATGATGATATGAGATGAGGTCGGTGAAGAAGGTAGTAGATATATTTTGATTCAAGAGCAGCAATTCGCTGGGTCTTATCTCATGATAATGGCCGTATTGTAATAATCCTGGTAAGAAGACAACCAACCTATGAAGGATGGGGAAGATGGAAATCTTCTTCGGCGAATTTCGTTAGCCTCGATATACCGCAGATGCCAACAGAGCCAGTGAATATTTCATGTGCTGTCGTAGGATTACTGTACTTACCAAGAATGAATATCAAAACCAATTTCTAATAGAATGGATACGATGTTATTATGTTGTCACCTGCCTATCTCATCATTCTCATCCTCAGCTCACACCAAGTTATCCGGCTATCTTGCAAGATACATAAAATGGCCCTTGTCTTGTCTGAGAATCTCAAACATCCAACATAAACATCAACATCCAACGAATCGGGGGAGGAGCAGCGAGTAAGAAGACCCCGAAAATAACCAGCCAATTGAAATTCAAGAGAGAAATGCTTTTTGTACGAGATTTCGATTGGTCTATTGAATGATATAAAACAATACGAGTAATGGAAGAGTATTATACACCAACGTATCTATCTAGGTAATGATCTCTCATTCCTATGGGCTGAGGAAAAGTAAATATCTAATGATAAAGTACGAGTATGGACGGGTGAATTTCATATGAGCCATTTTATAACCTCCAGCTTACACGACAAGTACAAACAAGAACAATAAGTATTCAACTCTTTCCTTTCCATCTGCTCCTCGTCCTCCTTCCTTTCTCCTTTCTCCTTCCTCCTTCCTCCCTCTCTCGAATCTCCTTTGTTCGAAACTCATTCTGAACAATCATCTCTCTCTTGTCACCTGTGTCCCTTGCCCTGCCACATGACGTCGAACGGCAATATCCTTGTTCTTGGCTTCACCAACTCTTAGATCTCGTATCTGTCAATGAGTACGAATTCGAGTATATGAAAATACATACCTATGTACATGACATTATTTCTTCACTTAAATTAACATATTGATTTGGAGGTGGGTATTGATATTGCCATTGGTTTTACTATCGATAATTGAGAATGCCCAATGCGGGCCAGGGAATAGACAGCACCGGCGAAGCTAGCACCAGCAAGCATGGAACCCAGTGTGAGGGTGAAGCTCCTGCTAGTGAATCCAACATTGGCAATGGAAATTCCTCATCCCATCGAGTCTTACACACATTTTCTAGCGATGCAACTCACAACGACCAAACGCCGGACCCTCAAGAGGAACAGCATCAGGATCCATACTCTGCTGGTACCATGGGAGAAAATTCATTGACTGTCCAAATGCATAATGAGGCAGAGCGGAAGAGGAATGGTACAGCGATTCCTAGATCAGGGCTGGGACCTCGACCAATTGGTGGACAAGAGAAGTTGGGGATGTTTTCTGGGGTGTACGTGCCAACATGTCTCAATGTTTTGAGCATTTTGATGTTCCTGCGATTTGGATTTATTCTAGGACAAAGTGGGTTATTGGGCATGATGGGTAAGTCTCTGAATGCATAAAACCATAACAAATATTGACAGTACCCCCCAGGTATGCTTGTCGCGTCATACGTGATCAATTTTATCACTACCTTCTCTCTTTCTGCGATTGCCTCGAATGGGACAGTGCGCGGAGGTGGTGCATATTACTTGATATCTCGTTCTTTGGGTCCAGAATTTGGAGGCTCAATTGGACTCGTCTTTTATCTGGGCTTCGTTTTCAATACTGGAATGAACGCCGTGGGTCTTATCGACTGTATCACGCTAAATTTTGGTGCCGACAATGGCAATTGGGCTCATATCTTGCCTGAAACAAACTGGTATTGCTACCTTTGGTCTACCGTAATACTCGTTTTGTGTACACTGTTATGCTTGGCTGGGTCTGGGATCTTTGCGAGAGCTAGCAACGGGCTACTAGTTATTCTATTCATCGCCACATTGAGTATCCCACTTTCGGCATTGGTCGTTAGCCCTTTTGAAAGTCGGAATTTGGGTATTGAATACACGGGCATTAGCTTGCAAACACTATCTGGGAATCTTCTGCCTCAGCTTACTAGAGGTGCCGCTGGCAGCCAAATCAATGGACGAGAGACTTTTCAGGATCTATTTGGGATCCTATTTCCTGCAACAGGGGGCATATTCGCTGGGGCAAGCATGAGTGGTGACTTGAAGTCTCCGAGCAAAGCCATCCCAAAAGGAACTGTGTATGGCCTTATCACAACTTTTTTCTTGTACACTATAGTCATAGTAGCAATGGCCGCCACAGTGACCCGCTCATCTTTCCTCAGAAATACTAATGTGCTTCAAGAGACAAACATGTCAGGGTTGTTAATCCTGGCAGGAGAAGTGTCCACTAGCTTGTTCTCTGTGCTCATGGGAATTATTGGCAGTGCAAAGCTTCTTCAAGCAATATCAAGAGATAGCCTGCTACCTGGGTTTTCTGTATTCAGCCAGGGAACTAAGAAAGCTGATGAACCTACTTTTGCCATCATTTTCACATTCATTGTCACCCAATTGACAATGCTTGGCGACCTCAATCAAATCGCCAGTTTTGTAACAATGACTTATCTTGTAAGTACGATTTGGCGAAATTATGCGAGACTACAAATCCCCCTTCTCCACACCCAGTCTCTGATTTCAATTGCATGCTGCATGCTGCATCAACAATCGCGCTCGCCTGGTGCGTGATGTTGTATTTTGATGTATACATCTGTCATTTATGCCCACCTTCTTGTGTTATCTTATGTTCGTTTGTATATTTTGAGTGCAACAGTGGCCAGGGTCTCATTTTCATACTAAAGAATTGTTATGGGTAGCATTAGCTAACATTGTTAGATGACCTTTCTAGTCATGAACCTAGCTTGCTTCCTCCTTTCAATCGGTTCTGCACCTAATTGGCGTCCCAGTTTCCATTTCTTCAACTGGCAGACTGCTTTTGCAGGAGCAATATTGTCAGGGGTCGCCATGTTCTTTGTAGACGGAGTTTATGCAACAGGATGTGTGGGCATGCTCCTTCTACTATTCCTCCTCATACATTATTCCGTAGAACCAAAGAGCTGGGGAGACGTATCCCAAAGTTTGATATATCATCAAATTCGAAAATACCTTCTTAAACTTAAACAGGAGCATGTCAAATTTTGGCGCCCTCAGGTTATTTTACTTGTCAATGACCCACGCCGACAATACAAGCTTATACAGTTTTGCAACTCTATGAAGAAAGGTGGTCTGTATATCCTTGGTCATATTATTGTGACGGATGATTTCAGCCAATCCGTGCCAGAAGCTGTAAGTAGAGCTTCAACGCTACATATGCCATAAGAACAAGCCGTGCCATTTAAGCAAAATTTACTGACTACTGAGAGTAGCGTCGCCAGCAAGCAGCGTGGAACAAGTATATTGATTTTTCAAAGATCAAAGCATTCGTTAATATTGCCATATCTCCGGCTCTTGAATGGGGTGCTCGCAATATTATTCTCAACGCAGGACTAGGAGGAATGCGGCCCAATATCGCAGTCATGGGGTTCTACAATTTAGATGACCTTAGAAATGCTCAGCCATTGATAGACATTTCGGAGCCATCTGAACCATCATCGGGCAATGTCAAGAAATTCAAGACACCACCTCGTTATAGGCGTCAGAACAGTGGGGAGAAGAAGATGCAAGGAGTGCTCCCAACTGATTTATGCCGGACCGAAGGCATGATGAGCGTAACAAGCTATGTCACTATCTTAGAAGATCTGCTCTTCAAGCTGCAAATCAACGTTGCAGTGGCCAAAGGTTTTCGAGATCTGGAATTGCCAGATACTGAGAACACGAAGAAGTATATTGATCTTTGGCCCATCCAAATGTCTGCTGAAATTGCAGCTGAAGGGGATGTAAAGCAGAATGTTTTGACCACCAATTTTGATACTTGTAGGATACAAAATTTCTAAGTTCCTTTCTTCTGAGGTCTTTGAGGTAGCTGACAATAGCAATAGACACTTTGATCCTCCAGCTTGGTGTCATTCTAAACACTGTACCTGCTTGGAAAAAAGCATACAAACTTCGCGTGGCTGTATTTGTCGAATATGAAAACGACGTGGAAGAAGAAAGAGGCAGGGTAAAATCTCTACTCGAAAATCTGCGCATTGAAGCTGAGATTCTTGTATTTTGGTTGGCGTCAGGAGATATTCCATCCTATGAGATCATCATCAATGGTGCAACCCCTGGCTCCAATCAAGCTGACGAGGTCGAACAATGTCTTAAGGGACAAGACTGGTGGGACGACATACAGAAGCTTCGTGGGAATCATGGAGCCACCACATCTGCCGTGGTAGATCTGGCTCAAATAACGAACATATTTCATGCTGCCCCAACTTGGCCGGACGCATCATTTCAACAGGGTGCACGGTATAGACATGTAAGTACTCACTTGATCCACCTCTTGTCCTTTTAAATGTTCATATGCCTATCCTTGAATATTCATTATTTTCTGATGACGACTGACCTGATCTTGAAATGTTTCTTAGGCCCAACGATTTCTTGGACTCCGACGGCTGCTAAGGAAATCAAAGAAACGGCAGAATATGAGTAATCTAAAAGGTTTAGGTGTTAATATGGGTATGCGATCTCAGAGATTAGAGCCCGATGTTATGAGCAGATATGCTAGTCAAGGAAGTGCCAGCGAAGATTCCGATAGTGATTCCGGACCTCAGACTGAGGAGCCGGAGTCTGATGACGAAAGTGCAGCGAGTGAAGGAGACCTCGATGATTTCGAATCAGGCAGTGATACCCATGCTGGAGAGATCAAACCAATTGCACGAAGAAGAAGTCATGGCGATAGCTTACGTGGTCCCCCCATATCTAAGCGTGCAGCGGGGGCAGAGGAGCCAATTCCTCCTACGATTTCGAAATCAACAAGACAATCGATAATTGATACTTTCAATAAATCACCGGATTTATTGATGCCAACCGCTTCAGCGCCTGTGTCACCACCACGTTCACCTCAACCATCCGGTCTTCAGCCATCACCAATTTTAGACTTCCCTGCCTCTGTGCAATCATTGAAAGACTCACAAAAGTCACCCGCCGCTCCTAATTTATCAGCAACGTCATCTCTCCTACAACCTCATGACCCACGAAAGAGACCGCCGATATCTAGACATGCATCTACCCCGAAATTCTCTTCAAAACCAGTTCCCATGACCCGCGTGGCCACAGAAGACGGCCCCGGCCCTAGCATAATGTTCGCCGAAACACCCTCTCCACCAACCGCTCGCAAATCCGCTCCTCGTATGCCATCCGCCTATCGTTCTTCTCCCTCTTTCGACCGGATTTCCGAAGCATCCAATTCTTCCAATCCTACCCGTAATCCTCCTTCTCCGACTCGGTCTTCATACTCTTTGCAATCTATTCCGCTTAGTTTTAATGATCTACCCTGTAGAGCACAACATCTAATTCTCAATCAATTGATTAAGAGTCAAAGTGAGGAGACGGCGGTTATCTTTACTACTTTACCGAGTCCGGTTGAAGGAACGGGTGGAAGTAGGGAGGCGAGTGAGGGATATCTTGGGGATTTGGAGGTATTGTGTGGGGGCCTGCCGCCAGTGTTGTTGGTGCATAGCAACAGTATGACGGTTACTGTTAGTTTGTAGGGAGTGGGAAATGGGATATTGAAGGGTAATGCATAAGGTATTAGGCGGTCGGGCAAGGTGTATTGGATATTTGTGCATGCGGCATCGGAGTTTGGTGGGCATCATATCGGTTTAAAGGATAGGCAATAGACATACATATAACAAAGAATACATTCAGGTTAAAGGGTTACTTTAGACTCTTGCTATTTTTAATGAAAAATGTACTAGTGTTAGTTACTATACACATGGGGGAATCTTAATCTCGTTGGATCATAACTAAAACCTGATCTTTAATAATTGCAATCCCAGATGACCTTCAGTGCGATAATAGTACCCTAAATTACTCCGAATTATTCTACCAAGAGTATCACAATCTCGTGGGAATCATTTGCAAATATTTGCAAGTGTAGAATCGCCGAAAAGATGAGATTGTTATTTATTATTTCTGCATTAAAATCAAGGGAAATTATATCCTATATCATATATCCTATAAACATCAATCTCTTTATATAATCCCTGCCCCGATTTGAACTCCAAAAATCCCCCGCGCTTTGCTTTCTATAGGAAGCAAATTCTGTAAAAAGGGCCTTATATATGTGTGATTCTTAGCCCTTTTAAGCCCTGCTCTTGAAGTTTTGATACATATATGGCAGCTTCATTGTACATAACTCAAGTAAAGAATGAATTGTATGCGACTTGCAGTCCACATGTTTCCTCTTCTGTGACAAGCTCAATTGTCGTGTAGTTTAATGGATTGCTAGAATTTGAGTTTTGGAGTATAGAGGCTTCCGAAGCGTTCAGTAAAGATGTGGTTGGTGTAGTGAATCGTGACTTAGATTCATTTTCTGAATCGTTAGAGGAGTGGTATGAATCTTGGGTGTGGGATGGAGTAGTATTTATACCCAAGTCTCCGAGTAATCCTGGTAGCGATATGCATTCCTCTTCCATTACTGTGGTTGGTGATCTTCCCAAAAATCTGGAGGACAACCTTCTTTTTCTTTGTCCTCACTTGAGAGGTAATGTTCGTCGTAAAAGTCATCTTCAGAGTATGAAGAGCTTGAGACAATAGTAGACTCGTTGGCAAACTCATACTCGTCATCGGAGATGCTTGTACTACTCGAGCGGTTATTGGAGACCCATTGCATCAAAGGTATATACAGTGGGGGTTTCCTTTTAGCTCTAAGATCAACAAACCCGAAAGAAAGATCTCGTTCAACAACGTTTGGGTGGGAGTCTGCATCGAGATCGAGGTAGTGAAGCTGCACGGCCAAAGAAAAATAATAATCCGTCTCAACAAAATCCGCAGCAAAGTCTTCATCAAAACCGTAATCCACCAAAGCCTGGGAGATTACATTCAAGTAAACCTTTTGGTTGTATGGAAAGCTGGCAAGGTGAGGTGGTAGAATGGAAGTGAAGGATGACGATGGGTTGTCGAAATCTACTCCTGAATCCTCAAAGTACCCAAGGAACGCCGCCCAGATAGCTCTATGGAATTGGGTATTCGCGTCTGAGCTTTTGATCGAAGCAACTAAGTCTTGGAATAACAAGATGTTTTCGTCGAGATTGAGTTCGTTCATTATCTGTTTCAAATGAACATCGTCGTGAAGGTAATTAAATATACCTGGGCATGATTGAGATATATTACACTCATGGTCGGTCGCTCTTTTTATGCAACGGGTGAGACGAGTGTAGTACCAACTCCAAACTTCATCCGCACTTGGCCATGCTAGAGGCCACATTTCCTGGGTCTTTAAGAGGTCATAAACGGGACGTTAAAATCCATCAATTTGCACTTGCCAATCCAAGTTCTCCAAGCCATGTTCTGGAATTGGAGCGTGGGTACTATTCTTGATTATAATTCGCGCCAAATGCAGCAGCGACTCAGTGTCTGACTTTGAAGTTGGTGACAAAGTAGCGATGGTCATGAGCGGCGATCGATCAGCTCTTTCCTCCTTTATTCTTGGCACTCCTGGATCCAGACCATGGTGCACCAATTCCTCAAAGACGGATAGCAGTCCTTCGATACCGCACTGCGGGGGAATAGATCGATACTTAAAAGCTTCGATAATTTGGCGCAGTGTTAGTTCGAGGAGAGATCTCTCAGCCCACAAACGATCATATGGCGAGGCATGTCCATTTAAAAAGAGCTCTCTAACCTCTGCCAGGTTACCAGAAATGCAGGCATTGACGATTGGAGCGTTGCTGTCGATTATATTATACACTCGTAAGGCGGGTTCGGGAGCAAATGACGAAATAGCGAATCCTTGCTCAACAATAGAGCAACATATACCCAGCTGAAGTAACTCCGGATTTGCGAACAAATCCACGTTTGTCTGAGTGACAGTGAGTGATCGTATGTTGACGGAATTAGTATCTAATTCATTGAAGGTTGTAATGATAGACTGCACAGTCACTATACCAATGGCACGAAAGTATTTCTTTTCTAAGATACGCTGTTGGACAACTTCTCGTCGAGGTCCAGTTCCCAAAGTAGGTTTGAAGATTTGTATAGACTCAATCCCCCCAAAATCTCGATTGTGTTTGGTTTCAAGATGAAACCCCAACAAGACTTCGCGGAATATGTTTTTCACAAATGTTGGCATGCCCATTGGCAATAACCTCAAGCCCTCTGAAGTGGCCTTTAACGTTTCGATGAATTCGTTTGCTGTACTGGCATTTTGAACCACCTCATGGACTTGACCGACTGTTTCGCACACCGTCGTAGCAGAAGCAGTAAATTTCGACGCTGAAATTGCGTCGACCGCGTTGCAGAGGTCATTGATTTTTGCACAAAGATCACTCTTCAATGTAGAAACGGCTTCCTTTGTATTGCATGCAGCTACGTGCACTTCATTCAACCGTGCTGGGATCGTACTGACAATATTCGAGGAATCGCCAAGCTTCAAGGCTAGAGAGTTAAGATCCCGCTTGATAACTTGATCGTGTGAAAGCTTTTGACTTTCTAGGTGTCTTCGCCGATGAGTAAGTTGGACTTCTTGTAGATTAAGTGGAACTCACAATATTATATTAGCCTGCATTATAGCTATGCCGTGCTTGACTTTATTGATTCTGGATGCGTGCTTTGCGCACGTATCTCTTAGAAATACCTACAAACTTGAGTTTACTTATCTTCCTCCCGGAAAACTTGTTGGTCGCAATGAACTTTATTAGATTCTGCACAGCTTCTTGCGCTGTATTCAAAACCAATCGAACTGCATGCATCCGACCACTCGCTGTCAACTTAACACCAGAAGTTTCCAAATCTTGAAGAACATTGCGAAAGCTGTCAATGATGAGTTCAAGAGAGCTCACTTCGCTTCGAAGTTCCCGGACATCGTCGTCTGCTTCCTTGATTCCATCAATTATTCGACGGACATATTCGCAGCCTTGCACGAGCTGGCCAGCAAGACCAAGAAAAGCAATAACTGACGCGCTTAATCCGATAGCTTCCGCCATGGCACGAGAAAACAACAAAGATTGGAAAAATGGAAGAATCTGTATGAATTCAAGAATCTGCGGATAGATTTGAAGACTTCTTTTGAGGGGGTTTGGTTTTATGTCTCTGCATCAAGGTTGCTTTCACATTGTGGTAATACTCAATGAGGCTCGGTTGCATAGTTTGTACAACCAGAATGTCATAAGGGCGTGATATTCTGCAGAATCAATTGGGAAGTTAACCCTTGTCAACTCCATCGTCAATTGGTTGATTGGGAGCCATTCGGTCTCGAAACAAGAATTCTAGCTCAACCTATTTACAGTCCATCTCGAGTGCAGCAAACGTTTACTTCATTGTCATGCCTTTTGAGATTTGTTCGAAGTTGAGATGTCGAAGAATTTTGAAAGTGTATCAGCTCTTCATGTCGTAAGACCAAGCTCTCTTCTCAAGATGAGAAATTTTAGTTACCTGTTCTAAGACTTCACGAGTCATCGTTGATGAAGCCTAATCGAAAAGGCATACCTGACAGTCGCTGCGCCATGGGGTGGTACATCACCACAGCGTAACACTTCGATCATCAAATCTCGCAACCGAGTTCAACTATTGAACTCGTCGTCCAAGATAGTCTCATCACATATTTGGATGGCTATGCTTTAGATGGCAATAATGCATCTTGAAACTACCTAGTATCGCGTGTAATCCTTACTTCCAAGAAATAATATAAAAGGAAAGCTCTTAAATAATGAAATCTGTTTGTCTGCACTGCAACGGAAAGGAAATTTACAAGTCAATAAATATAATTAACCTTAATGATCACGTGCATGTAATTTACACGAGAATTCGCGGATCGCGTCCCTGCGCGTTTCCCAACTTAACAAAAGTTCCACTGGTAGCAACATTGACATTGAGAACAACAACATGGCGGTACCTGTAGAAGATGGCAGTTTACTGCATGGCCCCACGTAAGTAATTGATCAAATAAATCAGTTGATGTAAAGTTCTAAACTAATTTTTCTTCAATACAGCACTTCTCATTCCTCACCACCGACTCGAGTACCCTCGTCCTACAAGCCTCTCTCTACATTTGCACTCACCAAAGCAAAGCAATATCAACAGCAATATGGCGATATGTACTTCTTGAGATTGACTTCTTTAAAGAAACCAGTTGAAGAAATTGCGAGCGCCGCTTGGGATGGGTTCCAGATTTCTGGGGAGGAAGTGCGGAAAGTAGAGAGAGTGTTGGATGTTAGACAGGGAGAATTATGTTGGGTGGCAGGTACAATTTATATGAATATGCCATTGAAACCGAATATTTTGGAAGATATAAGTAAAGATGTAGGAAATCCCCTTCCTCATCTGAGCAATTGGAAAAAAGGAAGTATGAAATCATGATCTTGAGGTACTAATTATTTTCTGTGAATAGCATTGGATATCAGCACCCCCACCTCGACAGAAATATCTCTCCAGTGACGGCGAAGACGAAATAATGCTCGAGGATGAATCGGGACGACTGCGATTAATTGGAGGACAACTGAATAAAGAGTTGCTAGTGACAGGCTGTATAGTAGCAGTAATGGGAACAGAAAACGCAAATGGCGATTTCGAAGTGGTGGATATCAAAGTACCAGATTTACCACCACAGGAGCCAAGATGGGAAATATCCGGGGAGAAAGAAGAAGAAGAGGATACAGATATGGACACGGAAAAGGCAGGGCGCAAAAAGATTGCCCTCGTATCCGGCCTCTCATTCTCTGGAACCAGCGCCGAAAACTCTCTTGAAAAGGCCCTCCTGACCGAATATCTCCTAGGCGAGAGTTTAGACTCCTCTGCCCAAGCCGAAGTCTCTAAAATATGTCGTCTAATAATAGCCGGCAACAGCATTGCCTCTGACCTCGATAGCATAGCACACGACACCGTGGGCAATACACGCAAAGCACAAAAGAAATACGGCTACGATGCCAGCGCCTATAATCCCGCTCCTACCGCCCATTTTGATAACTTCCTAGCGGAGCTATTGCCAAGTTTACCCATTACATTATTGCCTGGACCTAGCGATCCGGCAAATGCAAGTCTGCCGCAACAGCCTATTCATCCGGCTATGTTTCCTCAGGCTAGAGCCTACTGTGGAAGTGCGCCGAGTGTTATCGGAGAAGAGAGAGAGGCGGGATGGTTTGACCCAGTGACAAATCCATGGGAGGGAGAAATAGAGGGATGGAGAGTTTTGGGCACGGGTGGACAAAATGTCGATGATGTCTTCAAATACGTAGAGGGTGAGGATCGCCTGAGCATGATGGAGGCTATGTGTAGGTGGAGGTGTTGTGCTCCCACTGCACCAGATACTCTTTGTATGTTACATCCTACATCCCCTTCATTCACTTCGCAACAAACTTGCGCTTTCTTTGAGAAAAAGAGACTAACATTCCCAAGGGTCCTACCCATTCCAAGACGCCGACCCCTTCATAATCAACACTTGTCCGCACATCTTTTTCGCCGGCAACCAACCCTCTTTCGACACCGCCAGCATCGAGGGACCAGACGGCCAAACCGTCAGACTAATATCAATACCCAGTTTCCAGGAAACAGGCGAGATCGTACTCCTAGATGCTGAAACGTTGGAGGCGGAAGTTGTAAGAATCACGGTGGAGTAAGTGGGTATGGAATCTAGGTTGAACTGTTCATATGCATCTGAAGAAAAGAGGGAGGAGATGTTCCGAGCCATTCATCAATGAATTACCTACTTACCTACCTACCTACCTACCTACTAAATACCCATTCTATCTCATCTTACCTTACCTCATCCACCAAGTATTTAGCTCTAGCCATTAGGAGACCACTATAATAAATAATAAACCATTTGCTAGATTATTTGCTAGATTAGATTAGACAGAAGCTAGACACCTACATACAATACTCTTCCGATTACTCTACATCTACATACATACCGAGAAAGAAACGCACACTCTATATTCTATAAAATAGATAGGTAATCTTACCTAATTCACCTAATTAGATCCTCTCAAGATTAACCCCTCCCCCAAAAATTACACAGGTAGGTAGGTAGGTAGGTAGGTAAATCCACCCATCCCTTCCAAATCCCCACATAACATCTTATTATATGTCCATATAATCTTACATTCCCGCATCCCATTCTCCAAGAAAGGGGGGGGTCACAAAAAATCGCACCACCCACCCACTCCTATTCCCCTCCCCTCCCCATACATATTCCAGCTATTTTCCAAAATTCAAACAAATCCCACACATCACATCACATCACATCACATCACATCACATCACACCACATCCCCACCCAACCCAGCAAATAATATAAAAAAGATCACCTAGGCAGGCTACTAGGTATCCAGGTATCGTATCATACACATACACAGATAGCACTGAACTGAACTGAACTAAACTAAAACCAGGATCTCGAGTCTTGAAATGTATAAGATTATATTCATAGGTAGGTATTCATATTCATATTTTTTTCTTTCCATTTTTCCATCTAAAAAAGAAAAAAAGGAGGGGGAGGAGGAGGAGGAGGAGCCGTCTAAATCTACTACCTACGACCTACTACTTACTTACTACCTGCGACCTCATACTCACTACTCCAACAATGCATACCAGACCAAACAATACGGTGTATCATTCCGCTCACAGCATAACAGTAACAGTAACAGTAATAGTAACAGTAACCACCTGGAGTTAACGCTATCAAGTCAAAAAAAAAAAAAAGCTAAAAAAGCTAAAGCACGCATACCCACCTACCCATCCATCCCCTTCCTTTTCCCATGCGCATTCATTCGAATTCGCATCCGCTTTTAACAATACAATGAACGAATGCCCTTGAAATCACCCTCCAAAATGTCATCATCAATATGAATCTCAAAAATCCGTATGCCGAGGCCAATCCATCCATTTGCGCTCGCGCTACACTCTGCTCTGACGTGCTGAATCCATTATTCCTTTCTCCGCCCAATCTCCCATCTCCCATAGATCAAAAGCTCAAGGTATAATCGTCAAATTCCCCAACCCTCTAGCGATAATCAAGAAACACTTTGACTCAAGCGTGATCTACCCGGACCCTGCGCCTTTTTGATTGCTCTCAATTCTTCCTCAATTCTCCTTCGTTCCGTTTGTTCAGCCTATCGTGAATTTATTAGCACAATCCCATCAAATACAACAACTGAAAGTCAAAAACTCACCCTCAAAGCCCTCAGCCCCTCCGCCCTCGAATCCCTCATCATCTTCTTAAACTCATTCTTCAGCACCGTCGTGCTCGTATTATTCATAGTCGGCGTCACGCTTCCATCCCCAGGACTCCTCATCCCCAAATTTCTAACCTTCTCATCACTCAGCTGACTCTCAAGATTTTCCCTCTCATCCCTCAATTTATCAATATCCGCTTCCAACTTCTCTCTCTCCTTTTCCCATTCAATCGACGCTTTGGTCATAATTTCATACTCTTCTATCGTCTCTTCAAGCTCCTTTTTAAGCTCCTTAAGCTTCGCTTCCGCCTCCGCGCTACTTGCTGTTGGGCCCGGAGACCTGGCGGCTTGGAGCTCCGCAATCTCGCCTTGAAGCATGAAATTTTTATTATGAAGTGCATCCATTTGTTCTTGCAACGCCTTATTCTTGTTTGTCATAGCATCGATTTCCTTCTGAATAGCTGGATTCGAGGCAACTTCTGCAGCCCGCTGAGCTCGTGAACCATATGCACCATCGAGTTCTGCTCTCGCAATGACAACTTCCGTTTGCAATTCTGCAACCTTCATACTGATATCTTCCACCTCCTTCTCTTTCTCTGCCAATAACTTATCCTTTTCTCTAAGAGAATTTTCATGAGCAACTCTGGTCGTGGCAGCAGCAGCTACAGCAGTTGACAACTCCGCAATTCTAGCTTCATGCCCACTCAACTTGCTTGTCACATCGGCACTATTAATGCCGTTATCGTCTTTAAGGTCCTGGAGTTCATTTTCCAATTCATCAATCTTTTTGTTGGCAGCAGTGAGCTGATCCTCAA